TTCTTTTTGAGGTAATTAAAATGTCTTAACATTTATTGTAGTTATGGTTACATATATCAGTGAGTATACTAAAAATATTGAGTTGTATACTTTAAGAAGTTGAATCATATGGTATGTGAATTTTATCTCAATAAAACTGATTAAAAAGTGAAACAGTTGACCCTTGCACAGCATGGGTTTGAACTGTGCAGGTCTGCTTACACAGACTTTGATAAATACAGTGCAGTACTGTATTTCCTCTTCCTTATGCTTTTCTTAGTAACATCTTATCTTACTTTATTGTAAGAATACAGTATAAAATACATATAAGGTGGGGCGCCTGGGTGGCTCAGTCATAAGCGTCTGCCTTCAGCTTGGGTCATGATCCCAGGGTCCAGGGATTGAACCCCCCATCGGGCTTTCTTCTCAGCGGGAAGCCTGCTTCTCCCTCTCCCGCTCCCCATGCTTGTGTTCCCTCTCTGGCTGTCTCTCTCTGTCAAGTAAATAAATACAATCTTAAAAAATAATAAAATACATATAAGGTAAAAAAATATATATATATGTTAATCAACTATTCATGTTATCAGTAAGGCTTCTGGTCAACAGTAGGTTATTAGTAGTTAAGTTTTGGGGGAGTCAAAAGTCAAAAGTTATACACAAATTTTTGACTGCACAGTGGTTGGTGCCAACTCCTAGGTTGTTCAAGGTCAAGTGTACACAGTGTTGCATTGCATTCACTCACATTCTCCAATCTCCCAGGGCCTGACCAATTAACTCAATTCAATGAAAGTCATGAGGCATCTGTCATATGCAATACACTGCATACCATCATTGCAAGAGATAAACGATGAAACAATCTACCTTCAAGGAGATTATAGCACAGTAGGGGGTTGATGATATAGTAACAATAACTATAGTGATGATGGTGATGATGACGATGATGATGGCAGGAGGAGGAGGGAAAAGGAGAAATAATATTCACTAAGCATTTACCATATGCCAGGAATTGTGTTAAATGCTTTAAACGTTATGATGTCTTATTCTCATAACAATCCTAGAGATATACACTATTATTTTTCTGACTTTGTATCTAAGGAAATTGAGGCACAAACATGTGAACTATGGGTCATGTATCAAGAAATGGAAGAGTGAGAATCTCAATGTTGTGCTTAGCCAAAAGTGCTTTAAACTAGAGTCCATAAGTACATAAATTATATAATACAAGATAAATTAAGGTGTTATGAAAGAATCAAGTAAAAATGATTGAACCATTTGAAGAACACATCCTGTTTGCAGCTCGGGAGAGATTAGGAAAGTCAGTCAAGTTCTAAAATACATAGGTAGTTTTGAATGTCAGACTACAATTTTCATGACTTATAAGGTAGCTACAAACCTATATCACATTTTTTTGTAAAATAAATATGATCAAACAGAAAATGACTACAGAGTTACAATGTGCAACTTTCAAAGGTGCAACTTTCTCCTCAGATAGTTATAATAAGCAAAGGAAACTATTACAAGATACAAAACCAGATACCCACATTTTATTCATTCTTCTTAAGTCCAATCTGATCCCTTGTCTTCAGCCTGAGATCTTTAAAATTCTTCTTTTTGTGCTCGCGATTACATTACTAGATTGTATTGATCTTTCCCCTCTCCTATCTACTTTCTTGTTGATTTTCCCACTATTTCTCTTCCCATAGTCAAAGTTAGTTGAATATTATGGCTTAAGCTATTCCCTTTTTTAAAGTTTTTATTTTAAATCCAAATCTGGTTAGTTAACATAAAGTTTTTTATTAGTTTCAGGTATAAAATATAGTAATTTAAAACTTCCATACATCACCCTGGGCTCATCAAAAGTGTACTCCTTAATCCCCTTCACCTATTTAACCATCCCCCGACCCACCTCCCTTCTGGTAGCCATCAGTTTGTTCTCTGTAATTAAGAGGCTGCTTCTTGGTTTGCTTTTTTTCCCCTTTGCTCGTTTGTTTTGTTTCTCAAATTCCACATATGAGTGAAGTCATATGGGTGTCTTTCTCTGACCGACTTATTTCACTTAGCATAGTACTCTCTAGCTCCATCCATGTCATTGCAAATGGCAAGATTTCATTCTTTTTTGTAGCTGAATAATGTTCCATTATATATATGTATATATGTATATATATATATGGAATAATTATATATAATATGTATATACACACACACACACACACACACCACATCTTCTTTATCCATTCATCAATTGATGGACACTTGGGCTATTTCCATAATTTAGTTACTACAGATAATGCTGCTATAAACATTTGAGTGCATATGTTCCTCTGAATTAGTATTTTTGTATCCTTTGAGTAAATATGTAGTAGAGCCATTGCTGGATCATAGGGTAGTTCTATTTTAAACTTTTTTATGAATCATATAGGCAAGTCACTAATAACATCTTCAGTGCTTTTCACATAAGGGATAAATTATTTTGTTTTCAATCTGGAGGCTACATATTAAATGTTCACCTAAATCTATTTAATCTATTGTCCTCTACATATTTCCATATCATTTTACCATAGCATCTCTACTTATATCTAAAAAAAAAAAAATCATTCCTCTTCCTTATCAAGTCCCCAAGAGTGCTTTTAAAAGTTCCTTCCTGAACCCTTTGCTGGAATATTATTTTGGCTATAATCAGAGAAATAATAAAATTGTTTTACTTTCCGGACAGCACTGCTGACAAGCATAAAATGTTATGCTAGACCATCCTCTTCCTCAGTCATTACATAAAAACCAATGCAAACAAAATAACATTTCCTTCTACTATGGCACAAATGATCACCTCTGAAATAATCTAAAGAAAGATGTGATAGAAGATACATGAATTATTTGATGTAAATAACAAAATAGACATTCTAGAATGCTATGGTATCAAATTAGGTTAGGTGATGCTGTGGCAATAAAAAAGACACAAAATCTCAGTGGCTTAACATATAACAGTTTATTTCTTACTCCCAAAAGGTTCCCTGCAAGTCCATCAGCTTTCCAGGGCTTCCTTATAAACAGTGACTTAGAGATACAGGCTGCCTCTATCTTGTAGGTACACCATTTGGAGTACATTGAGAGAGCTGGAAGGTCATGCAGGATATTTTGCTGTTCCAGTATTGAAATGACACCTCATTTCTGTTTACAATTTTTGCAATCCCTCTGCTAGAAGTAGTCAAATGGCATTGCCTATCTACAAGGGGCTAAGAAGTGAATGGGAGCACACAGACATTTGGTAAGCTGTTAATGTTTTTGCCATATTCTACAAATAATATAAGCTTTTCTTGTATTTTAATGAAAAACAATTTTGGAAAACTCTATGTGGTTATAAAATATCCCTTAAATATATACTTTATCAGCATATATAGTTTTTTGTTTTTGGGTTTTTTGTTTGTTTTTTAGCAAACAACTAAAGTTATGAAGCTTTAAGGTGATCTAACATGACATTACATTTATAATGTTCCAAGAGGCTTTCTGAGAGATTCTGGTATTTCAACTGCAAAAATTTGGGGAGTCAATATTTATTTGCTTGATGTTTTCTATCTTTATAATAACTTTACCTGTGATTCAAGGGAACTGATATGAAATCAGTTATTAAAAAATAGCTATTGTTTCTCTCATCATGCCAAAATACTTTGTAAATATGACATTAAAATTAGCACATCCTCTGTAACAGGTGGTTCTTTTTGAGACATCAATTGATGATTTGTATTACTCTATCAATATGTAAAATAAAAATAATTCCCAGCTCATTCCAGCATTAGTGGTAAACAAACACAAGTCACCAAATCTTAGTAAAATATGACACAGAAAGATCAATGATGTCATTATGTCCTAAACTGAATTCCTATTTTAATTCAATACTAATGCTTAACACACTGAACTTTTAAACAGCATACTTACTAAGATTTTGGCAGTAGTTTTATGTAACAAGACACATAGCGTACTAGAGGTCTGGCACTTAACTTGCTTAGAGTAAACAAGCTTCAATATGAAGGCATTAAATATTTTTTTAAAAACCTTCTTTTTACATGCTAAATATTTTGTCAAGTGTGCAATTAAACCTAGTAATGAAATATAGTAAGATTAAGAAATTACAAACTTGTATCCTAAGCATAAATCATATAAAAAGGATTACTGCTTATATAGAATATCCCTGGATAATCAAAAAATAATAGTATAAAACATGCAAAATATTTCAGAATCTTTATTAATCAAAAAATACCAGGGTTTATTTAAAATGATTCCCCTCCAAAGGGTATCAAAGTTAATTCAAATAATGTAACACTCTAATGCTAAATATTATTCAGTACTGCTAAAGTGGAGGTAAATTTCATAGAACTGGGGGCTTATACTTTCTGTCTTCTTATTCACTTGAAGCAGCATATAACATTCCAGAATTTCACTAAATAAGAAAAGAATGGCCACTGCACTGGCAAAAATAGGATGTGTAAAGATCAAAGGCACACTATTCAGCTAGCCAAAGTGATAGCAAACTCTTTTTTCCCCCACAAGCCCTTTCCCCATGTAAACTAAAGTTTATTAAGAAGTAAAATAAACTAATCTTCAAAAGTAAGGATTCTGAGACATCATTAAGTCCATGCTTCAAAAATGTCAACTATAGTTGTCTAGATATTTCTGATTATATTTTAAAGATATATCCAAATTAGATACATTTGGGGGGTGAAAATTATTATCTAAAACATTTTAATTCAAAATCCAAATGTTTTAACCACTAGTATGAGCAACAGGGTTTTAGATCTCAGAAGAATTAACCCTGGAAGGGAAAACACACAAACAAAATTATATATTTATGCTGCAGGCAATGATTATGGCCCTTTCTGGCACAGTGGCATATGACTGGCACTCAGTCCAGGAATATTCTACAAACACAAGGAAATTCATGCATTTTGGTAAATATACCCTAACATTCACAGTTGAAATTTCCTTAAATCCTTGCTTTTTTAAATAGGAAAATCTTAATTTTTTTCTTGTTATCCTGACTTGTGACTTGAACCTGACTTCTTTTTCTTCTTCTTACTATGTTTCTTGTGCTGTTTCTTCTTCTTCTTCTTTGCTTTTTCTGTTGCTTTTTCTCGCTCTTCATGTCTTCTCTTCTTTTTTGCTTGCACTTCCTCTTCATATTCTGATTCTGATGAGTACTCTGATGATGAGGGTTTATCTTCAGGATAAGTCTTCTTTCTTTTTTTGCTGAGACTTCTAATATACTTTTCTTTCTCTGTTTCATCCGTTGACTTCTTTTTCTTTTTCACAGATTCCTTGCTCTCTGATTCAGATTCATATGTAGAGCTTTCTGATGATTTGTATGAATGGTTCTTCTTTTTCTTTCTCTTTTTTCCTTGTTTCTTTTCCTCATTCTCAGAATCTGAACTACTTGAAGAATCAGAGCTTGATGAAGAAGAAGATGAAGACCGACAAGATTTCTTCTTTTTCTTTTTCTTTTTTTCTTTTTTTTTAGAAGAGTTCTCATTTCCACTCAATAATTTTTCTCTACTTTTTTCTAATTCTTTTTTCCAATTCTCATTCATTTTTTCTTCAAATTCAGCTAATGCCTTGGAGCCTTTCTTTTTATTTTCTAATTGTTTCTTCACTTCTTCCCAGGTGGGCCTTGGTCGATTCAGATAATCTTGTATTGTTGGGCCTGTAGATTGAGTTGAGCCCCTCCATCTGGCCATTGCTATAGGATTCATATAGGCCACTCGATTATCTCGCTTCCCCATGGTGCCTGATGGTTCCAAGAGCAGACTATCAATGCTAAGAAGAATAAAGATAAACCCTCCTTTGGTTCTTCACCTGCTGGTATATCAAGCAGGCTCCATTCTGTTAGAGAAGCAAAAGGAATGGTTACAAAATGCCTTTAATATAAGACAAAATAAACACATGAGCTTAATTTTTCACTATCTATCATATAGTACTGTAGAAATTTTCAAAATCTTAGACCTTGGGAACAAAGAATATACACATTTAAGACTTTTGCATACTTAAGATATTGTGGTATGGATATAAAATAAAGTATTTTATACACCTCATGTACAATTCTGACTTACCTAATTTTTTAAATAAATATTTCCTTTTATATTACATGATACTGTTTTTCTTTCTTTCATTTGGCCTTATTTAGTATAAAAAGAGAAATTTCTATAGCTAAATTCTGTATGAGGCAGATCTCCTCCAACTTAAGAAAGTGCAGCACAGGGTGCCTGGGTGGCTCAGTTGGTTAAGCGACTGCCTTCGGCTCAGGTCATGATCCTGGAGTCCCTGGATCGAGTCCCGCATCGGGCTCCCTGCTCAGCGGGGAGTCTGCTTCTCCCTCTCCCACCCCCCCTGCTTTTGTTCCCCTCTTTTTGTTTTTTCTTTTTGTAAAAAAAAAAAAAATTTAAAAAAAAAAAAAAAAAAAAAAGAAAGTGCAGCACAATCCACTCCACTTGGAAAGAAACCTAGGAGTCATATCTGAAAAATCCTCTCCCTCAAGTCTCATATCTAATCCATTACTATATTCTGCTGTTTAAGCCTTGACAATAGGTCTCATATCCATTCACTTTTTCCAGATATATTGTCACTGATTTAGTACAGGCACTATCATCCCTCACTTGGACTATTAATCTCTAGTATCAATTAAGTGTTATCTGCCCGGACTGCTTAGTGTTTTGTAACAGATTATCTCATTCAATCTCTAGACTAATTATATGAGGATGATTCTATTATTATCCCTGTTTCACAGATGAAGAAACTGAGTCTTAGAGAATTTGAGTAACTTGCATAAAGTAACAACTAATAAATGTCCAAACTAGGATTTAAACCAAGGCAACTTGACTCCAAACCCTGAACACCTAACATAACACTATATTGCCTCTTTACATCAACCTCTTAATTGATACCCTTATTTCTACCCTTACTCTCTTCCATTCCAGCCCCACACTACAACCAGCAGGTCTCAAATACTACAGTGGCTTTATATTATGAGAATGAAATCCAGACTCCTATAAAGGTCCTATATGATCTGCCCTGCTTCTCTTACTTTTTTTTAATTTTTTTAAGATTTTATTATTTATTTGACAGAGAGAGAACACAGGTAGGCAGAGCAGAAGCTAGAGCAGTAGGCAGAGGGAGAGGGAGAAGCAGACACCCCGCTGAGCAGAGAGCCTGATGGTGGGTCTTGATCCCAGGACCCTGGGATCATGACCTGAGCTGAAGGCAGACACTTAACTGACTGAGACACCCAGGCACCCCTCTCTTTCACTTTCATCACCCCTTTTCTCAATTCTATCTTTTCTTGTCTTCTCTTGGTTTCTGGAACATGATAAGCTCCAAGCTTAGCCATCATGGCCCATGCTACTACATTCTTCAGGTCTCAGCTTATTTATTTATTTGTACATATGTATGTACGTATTTTATTTTATTTATTTTTAGAGAGGGGGAGGGCCAGAGGGAGAGAGAGAATCTTTTTTTTTTTAAAGATTTTATTTATTTATTTGACAGAGAGAGACACAGCGAGAGAGGGAACACAAGCAGGGGGAGTGGGAGAGGGAGAAGCAGGCTTCCCGTGGAGCAGGGAGCCCGATGTGGGGCTCGATCCCAGGACCCTGGGACCATGACCTGAGCCGAAGGCAGACGCCTAACGACTGAGCCACCCAGGTGCCCCGGAGAGAGAGAATCTTAAGCAGGCTCCATGCCCAGAGCAGAGTCCAATGTGGGGCTTGATCTCATGACCCTGAGATCATGACTTGAGCTGAAATCAAGAGTCGGATGCTTTCCAGAGTGGCTGCACCAGACTGCATGACCCAACAATTGCACTACTGGGTATTTACCCCAAATATACAGATGTAGTGAAAAGAAGGGGCACATGCACCCCAATGTTCATAGCAGCAATGTCCACAATAGCCAAACTGTGGAAGGAGCCGAGATGTCCTTCAACAGATGAATGGATAAAGATGTGGTTCATATATACAATGGAATATTACTCAGCCATCAGAAAGGACGAATACCTACCATTTGCACTGACATGGATGTAACTGGATGGTATTATGCTAAGTGAAATAAGTCAAGCAGAGAAAGATAATTATCATATGGTTTCACTCATACGTGGAACATAAGGAATAGCGCAGAGGACCACAGTGGAAGTGAGGGAAAACTGAATGGGAAGAAATCAGAGAGGGAGAGAAACCATGAGAGATACTGGACTCCAGGAAACAAACTGAAGGTTGTTAGAGGGGGAGCTGGTTGGGGGGATGGGGCAACTGGGTGATGTGCATTGAGGAGGGCACAGGATGTGACGGGTATTGGGTGGTATAGGCAACTGATGAATTGTTGAACACTACATCAAAAACTAATGATGTACTATATGTTGGCTAACTGAACATAATAAAAATAAATAAATAAATAGGGAGAATGCTTTAAAAAAAAAGTTGGACGCTTAACCGACTAAGCCACCAAGGTGCCCAGGGCTCAGTTTAAATGTCAATTCCTCTGTAGGGAAACTATTAGGTTGAACTACATAAAACTGCCAATTAGATAGATGGGACAGAAACAAATACCAGCAACTTCATATGCATCAACTTTATGTTAAAGCATGCTGCCTTTGCATCTACCCCTCATACAAATTATTTTGTATCACAGATCTTTCCATCTTTTATGCACAACATTTAGCAAACTGGTGATTATTTTATTTGTCTGGTTATTTGGATATGTGTGTGTGTGTGTGTGTGTGTGTGTGTGTGTGTGTGTGTGTGTATCCACCACTAAATATAAGGCCAAGAAGAGTGAAGGCTATGTTTAATCTTTCTTATTCACCATGGTGTTTCTAGTATCTAACATGCCATGTGGCTCACATTAAGTACTCAATAAATATTGGTTCAGTAATAAACAAACAAATGAATGGATAGATGGGTGTATGGCTCTGGGAGAAAGGGGCATTTAGAGAAGCTTCCTAGAATTGGTAATGTCTGTACAGGATTTTAAAGAATAAAAGTTTATCCTGCAAATTAAGACATGAAGGACATTCCAGGCAGAGAAAACAAAATGTGAAAAAAAAAAACAAACAGGGATATGAAAGAGCACCATGTGTTTAGTGTTGATGCAGCCTAAATTTCAAGAAAGCAGTGGCTAGAAGTGAGGCTTCATTGACAGGAAATAGCCTGATCACAGAGCCCCTCTAAAATATATAGTTGTTAGTAAGCCAACAAAGTCCTTTAAAGAGAAGGAAAAGATAATCAGATATATCATAGATTTTCCTGTCAATCTCCATCCTGACTCTAACCCTTTAAATCAACCAAACATACCTAGTCATCATAAGCTCAATGTCACAGATGTTACAGTGACTCTTGGTGATAGTTTACTGCATTTGATTTGTTGTGTTCATGATATTCTCCTTCCCTTTCAGTTCTGTCCAGCTCCTCTTAGGTATTTCTGTGATTTTCATTCTGACTGATACTCTAAATATCTATCAGATATTATTGTTCCCTGACCTTATCATCAAAAGCCCTTAAAAACTTCAGTTCATATTCAACTTGCTGGTTCTCTCTGCTACTGGACACTTAGAATAGCATAATCCATTCTAACTTCAGTTCCTTGAGACCTAGTCCTGATGTCATCTAGAAAGATAGGCAAAGATCAGTTCATAAAAACTTTGGATGTGATGCTAATGATGTTGGAATTCATTCTATGAGACTTAAAGTGAAGTTAATTGGGAGATAATGACTATTTTAAACAGGAGAATGATATGACCATGTTTGAGTGTTTACAAAACAATTTTTTATAGCATGGAAGTTGGATTGGATGCAAGTAAGAATGAAGGCAATGAGATCACTTAAGTATTCATTCAGACAAATGAAAGGGTCTAAAATAAAATCAGCAGTATTTTGAATAGAGAGGGGAAGATACATGAAAAATGTTGAAATAATTATACTAAAAATAATGACTAATTGAATACAAAGTGTGAGAGCAAGAAAGGACAAGATTCTGGCTTCTGAGACTAGATATAAGGCAATGCCAATGACTGGGTAATATAGGAAATGGCAGACTTTAAGGAAAGGTCTACAATCAGTACTGACAATCAGTATTGGATTCATAAAGTTTGAGGTGCCTATGAGACATCTGAATGAAGCTGCATGTAGAAAATCAGATGTATGGGTGTTGGCATGCTGAAATGTGACCTGAATTAGAGATGTAGGATTGGCAGTCATTGAGTGAAGGCTAAAGACATGAGAGAAAAATTAAATTACCTTGGGGAGATTTCAAATGAAAAAAGACTTGAGCATTGGATCCAATTAAACAAGATGCAAGAGGTTGCCAGAGAGAGTAAAGCCTATAAATAAGACTTCAGAAAATTAGCTAGAATGTTAAGAGCTAGACTGCTATTAGAAAAAAAAGTAAGAGTTACAGAAACACAGCGAAGGAGAATAAAGTTTCAAGGTGAGGACAACAACCCTCAAAGATGTGTGTTCATGAATTTAATTTGAGCAATTTTTAAATATCAAAAAAATTGGAAAAACACTAAATGTCCATCAATAACAAACAGGTTTGGGGTTCCTGGGTGGTTCAGTCATTTAAGTGTCTGACTCTTGATTTTGGTTCAGGTCATGATCTCAGCGTCAAGGGATTGAGCCCCACGTCAGGCTGTGCTAAGCGTGGAGTTTGCTTGAGATTCTCTCTCCCTCTTCCTCTGCCCCTGTCTCTGCTCACACACACTCTCTAAATAAATAAATAAATAATTAAATAAATA